GCATAAGGCACATTTCAAGTGAGGCAAAGGAAAAGAGTGATGGAACTTGAAAGTTATATTAATTGCATCTGGATTTGGAAATGTTAACTGAACATGTTAAACTCTGCTGTGCTTATTTCAAAAGCCTGTATTTTGCACTGTCACCATTTCTCCATATTCAAACATTCCTCGATCTGTGTACAGAACCGATACACACACGCCATAATTCACCCTGGAGGAGCTATGGCGTGCTACAGGCAGTGGTGCACGTAAGCAAAAATCACAGATAATAAGGCTTACAAAGAAAAAGAATGAATAAAGCTTTCATAAAACAACCTATCTGTTGTTAATAAAAACTCACTAGAGAAGGTGTTGAGCAACTCGATCCAAAAGACGTCCCTTCGGGCTCCCAACTTGTAACAGGTGCCCGAAGCACCAGCCAAGCTTCCAGAGGTGTAACAACCCCTCCGGCATCAATGAAAGTGCAAATTCCAGAACAGATCAGGAGGAAAAGGAAGAAGTGCCGTTGTGTAGCTTTCACCTCTCCCCAGCGGCTTGTATTAAGGAACTCCACATGGATTACATAATTTGAGAAGGCACTAAGGCAGTCTTCAAATCTGAATTGGTTTAACTACAGCCAGAAATTCTCAAATGCTTTAATTTCTTGAATAAGCAACAGCCCATGAGAGTCATTTGGACTATTCCTTAATTTTTCTCTTGATATTTACACTTAAGGGAGAGAAGTGGATCCTTAAAACGCACGCCATAAAAAATAACTTTGTTTAATGCAGAATCCAAATTGTAGCTTCAAAATGCAGCCTCAGAATTCACAACTACCACGATGTTGCACATCATTTATTACACGCTAGAATATACTAACTAAACAAATATTCAAAATCTTCATAGACTGGGAAAATTTAGTATGCAATTCTGCAGTGTAAGCTAATAGTGAATTCTACTGAAGCTCCAACAGGATCACTTTCAGAAATCGAACCTTGGAACTACAACAAAAACTATATGTGAAGTCTTCCCTGTCTTCCTAAATGATGCTTGTGAATGAGGGAGAACACGACTGTGGAAAAACTTTTAATGAGATCATGCATAAGCTGCCAACAATATGCCAATGCTACATGTAAATACAGGAGCGTTACTAAGAAAAAATCTCTTATAGTAGCTGAGGTACCAAACTGTGTATTTACTGCATTCAGAAAAACACATTAAGAGTTTCTGACACTTCAATACTGTGGTTTGTATGAATGAAAAGAAGTCACTATACAGTGCAAGACTGACTTTTGATTATGATGCAAAATGCCAACTTCAGATTCTATTATGGAAAGAAAAGTCACAGATGCAGGCACTAAATTTCCCACACCAGAAGGCATTGCCTATTTTATATCCACTAATGTGCCAGATTGGGTAAAATCTGTTTCGGCAATTTAAACTACGCAAGGTGGAAAGTACTGCAGATTTCTTAGTGAAAACAGTTTCTTCTACTACAACAAACTATAAAACTTTGGTTTGACAGAACAAAGAGTACTATCAACAACTATGTTTTAAATTGCTATCCTTTAAAGTAACAACAGCACAGACTTTTAAAAAATATTTTCTCCATTCTAAAATTATGGTATAAATCATACTGAAGTACTAGTAGAGAATTTAAAAACTAATATATTCTTACAGTATTTGTACCCGTGTATTAAGCATGTATGTATTTGCATTCCACAGGGTTTCTGATGCTAATGTCCTTTCTAGTGGGATGCCCTAACCACCAGAACCATATGCCTGGAAATTAAAAGGATAAGTTTTTTTGTCAATATGAGTGAGAAATCTGCGCTCCTGTTACTAGCACTTCAGAGTTTAATAATCCAACCCCTCCAAGGCATTTTTCACTTGGTTTTATTCAGAATGCTCTGTGTCTCTTTTAATAATATTTTAAAATAATGATTGAGTGGTATACCTTTATATCAGGCACAGAATTCTGCATGTTCTTAATTAAATCACAGATTATGAGATGGTAAAAGCAAATACCATGGGAAGCAGACATCAGAAGAACAAGTCAAGTGAACAAGGTAGAAGTAAGAAAAAAAAAAGGCTTTGCGTAGTTTCAACAGCACAGGCACGGCAGGAAAACACTGCACACTGGCGGCAGGTATGTGAATATTATTTGCAAAGAATCCAGTTTGTCAAAATCTTGTGAATTTTTTTTAATTGGGTTTTTTTTCATACAATCTGTTTTAAGTAAGAAGGAATGTTTTTTCAATAATCTCTTGATAGTTAATCAGCTTGACCTTTGCTTAGACTTTCTAGAATAAAACTGTTTCCTAATTTCTTTTTACTTTTCATAAACCTCTAAGTTGATCTTCCATCTTTAAAAAGATCAACTTTTTTTTATACCTAATATCAGATTATTGAAGATTTTAGTACATGCATGGGCAGTTCATCTAATCCCATTGACCTTTTCATATTAAAATCCAGTTTTAAGCTTTATCTGCTGTTTGTTAAAAAAAAAATAAATCAGCCATTGTTCAGATGCTGGCTCTTTAGTCTTACAGGAAAATCAAAACAACAAGACATTCTTCTTATTTATGTAGAACTGAGAAAACACATCCAATATTTAAAAGAAGTTGATTGTGACACATCTTGTATTTGTAATTTTTGAAATTCAACTATTTGGAATAGTTGAAACTACAAGGCTGTCTTCGGTCAGAAGGGGAAGCAGCCCACATGTCAGGTAATCAGACTGTCACCCCACTAGCTCATATTTCCTTATTTAAATTTCATACAGAGTTAATATTTGCTGGTAGATTTTCCCCATGTGTAAGTAACAGCTGACAATGTCCTCATACCTATAGTGGATTTAAGCCTCCTACAAGAAAAATGAACTTAACTGTCTATCTCCTAAAACACCAAACTATAAATAGGAAGTGAAAAATCTTCTCTTCCACTCAGTCTGTTAAATTCTTATACAGAAAAAATGACCACACATGACAGAGCAGATGATCATTACAATTAAACAAAAATCAAAACATACCACGGGGAAAAGTTGAAGCAAGTTGCACAAATCACATTTATTCTGTCAAAAATCTGCTTTGTTACAGTAAGCAAAGAAGGGCTGAAAGGGAAGTTTTGGTCATTAAAAATGAACAGTAATTTATGCTTCTGATAAGAAGTCAGCATTTTTAATACAAAATGTAATGAGCTTTTATCTTACAGAATGATACCAATTTAACTGCAATAAACCCTTTTTCATATATTTTCTAGGCTTCAGAATTACTAATGACTTTGCTGCCATTAATATGCTTTTTCTATTTTGGATGTTATAGCTGGACTAAACTTTACTAATTCTTTTGGTTTAAATCCTCAAGTGAAGTTATAGAACATCAGAGGCTTTGAATCAGACTACAAAAATCTCAAAGCTGTAAGGTAAAATGTTAGCCATGGAGAAAATTAATAAAACACCATCAAATGTGTCTGGGTAAACCATAAGGCTTCGTAAAGAATTTAACAAGAGATGCTGAAAGAAGAAGATTAAACTAGAAAAAAACAATTCCAGAAAAGAATTACCAAGCGGCAGAAAACATTTCTGGAAGCTAGATAAGATGACAAACTGCTCTTTGCATAAATAAAATTAACCACTATGTTGTTTTATCAGGTCCTTGTGAACACAGTGACTAGACTTGTTATCTGACTCCAGATCAGAGCCAAGGACAAGCAACATTGAGAGCAAATAGCAAAATGTATTGTAATTGTAAAAATTCTTTGTGTAGTATCTACAGTAGTGCTGAGATACGTAAGTAGCTAGCCATAAGCTGTTTATTTATATATATATATATATATATGCATGTGTATATACAATACACTCTAGATGGTGATGTGCAAGTTCTCTCTTCAGTGTCTATGCTGCCTTACAACACAGCATCTTCCTCAACCCTGCCCAGACAGATGAGTTCCATCTTGTCACAGGCTTTCCTGCCAGCGGAGACATTTAATCAACAGAAACGAAATTTAGTTCACATGCAGAAAAAAAGAACATGTAAAGGTACTTGAGAAGCTTGCAAAACGGCAAAAAAAATTGCACGACAGAGTTTGATTGTTGGGGAAACAAGAGTTCTGCTCTCACTAGACTGAAGTTTAAGACAGAAGACAACAGACTGAAAGAAAACGATGGCCTATGTATAAAACACATCTAACAGCTAACTACTGCACTCAAGAGGGACGCTGACTGATAATGCTGAGAAAAAGGAGACAAAAATTTGCAAGAGAAAACCTGGACAGAGCTAGCAGAAACGTGCATCCAACTCTATCCCTTTGTATCCTTCTTCTCCCCCAAGCATTTATATTCTGATGAATCAGTAAGGCCCAGTCAAAATAAAATAGTTTGCATTACGTCCATCAGGCACTATGACATAACCTTCACCGTTGGTGGCTGGGCATCAAGTGTGCCAAGCAGCAGAGCCTGCTTCCCATAAAGAGAGACCCAGCAAGGGAATTAAGCTCTCTCTCACGTTCACCATTCTGCTGATTGGCCAAGAAAAAAATCTGAATGAATCCTTGACTGTACAGTATCATTAAACTACACATTCCACGCATAGTCTGGGTTCTTTAGAAAGCATGTTTGTTACTTTCTATTCAGGTGTTAAAGAGTTAAAAGAAGAAACACACTGTGTGTGTCTGTATGTATGTGCTCACTCTTGAGCAGTAAGACTTCAAAAGCTTAAAGGTGAACTAAACATCATCATCACACTGCTCACACAGCCTCCCATACGTGATTTTCTAAGTACTTCACTGAACTATGCTGTATTATTTCCACAACCTACTTCAGACAAAGGGAAGTTATTTTTTTTTTACTGTTTTTCCCCTCCCTATTTTTTCTGAGGTCAATAAATAACAGAACAGCAAAATCCATGTGGATTATCAATGCTTACAAGTTACATAATCCTATAATCTAAAATGAAATGTTGGAAGTATTTAATGCCAAAGCAAACAGCTATTACCTTTAGGTGTTTCATCTATTTGCTTACCTTTACTTGCACTCTCAACATGCTGCAACTCATCTGGAAATTTTAAGATGTCTCGATAATTCTCCTCACAGATTTCTGCCAGAAAATGCAACAGGGTTGTTTTCTGATCTGATGATTTAGTATCTCGAATCTAAAAGATGAATACACACACACACAAAAAAATCACTTATTTTTTAGAAAAATGTTTCAATAAAGCAAATATTGTAAATGTAAATTCATTAGCAAAAAGTTACCTACACTGGTTGCATGCAAATGAAACGGTTTATTTCTAAGATTAAATTTCTCCAATTTTTTATAATAGAAGACTACAAAGGGAATCTATTCCTACGCTCCTTTTTTATTTTTTTAAGAATAATTGTGCCGAGAACAAAACCTGAAGACAGTTCGTAAAGTTCTGAGTTTTTACTAATACCAGGTCAGAATGCTCACTGTGAGGAAAAAAAAAAGTAAAATAGTTGTGAACAGAGATTAAACAGAACAGAATTTAAGTTCATTCCTTCAATGCCCCCCAGTGCCAGATTTCTAAAGGACTCCCTCTGAAATGCTGCAAAAACTGGACAGCATGTTAAAAGTCAGAATTTTCTCTTTCAACAGTCAAGTTAAAGAAACTCCTTGTCATAAATCCACAATTATTTATCAAAGCAAAACCTAAACCATGCTGCTTTATCCTAAAGACTTTCAGACAAATTCTATACAGACACATGAAATAACTGCACCCCGCTTCACTGGAATACAAAACAACAGTAAAAAAGCAAATGTAATCTTAACTGGCATAAAGGGAGATTTAATGCATCCAGTTTTATTTATGAAAAGCTGCACGAAAATTGTGCACAGTGTGAAGAAACAGTTGTTTGCATTTTTTCACTAACTCTCATCTGCAAAGGCAAATTTAGTGGTCTGAAATGAACTAGTTTTCTTGAACATGATAAGACCTCTTGTTATCCATTAACTGAAGTGCACAAACTTCTAGAATCAGTTATAAAAAATAATAATTCTGAAATACCTGTAAAAACAGAGGGCTAGTGACAAATTTCCAAGTAAACATTAATGTGGCTAAATCTCACAGCAGAGCGCATGTGTATATGCACAGGAACATCATGAACTTGAAGAGAATAAGGAGATGAATTTCAGTCTTACTTAGTTTCTCTTTTTTTTATGAAGATACAAAGAATGAATGTATGAGTTGACTGAAGATTTACTGGAGTTGGAGATTACTCCTTATTTACAAAGGCAAGAGAGAAAGTAGGTGCAAGCAAGAGTTCAAGATGTCTACTTCACTTTTTATAGAGAATTAGGACTACAGGTATATCTGCATTTTATACCGCATTTTACTAACTCGTACAGCTCTTATACAGAAGTTACAACATACACAACAAATGAAATCAAGGATTTATTTAAGAAGAATACATAAATGTGTGTGTAAAATCTCCCATTTGTTTTCTCATTCTCTAAATCACTAGAAGTTCTAATTCTATAATCCTCATGACAGGCTTGCCATCGATGTTCAATTTAATACAGGCCTTTCAGCTTTAAGGATTACCCTGTTAAGAATAAATGAGTGCAGTCAAAAACCAGGCTTTTAAAAATATAAGGTATTTAGGCAATTAAGAACGCAATTTAATTCATACCGATTCAGTGATTAAAGACTAAACAATGCTCAGTAACGGCATGCGGTTAAAAGGGTTTAATGTGTTACATACATAGAAGTTTTTCCAACTTGAAAAAAAAAATCATAGATTTAGTGGCTAAACATCTGCATGGTAAAAAGAAATTGCATTTCAATTTGCCTGTGAACAAGAACTGTGGGATTTGCAGTCTTTGATCTCTCTGACATCATCAAGTGGATAAAGCATTTTTTTTCCTAAATGGACAAAATTATTTTGCCTTCAGATTACAACAGAAATACATTTTGTCACCAACAGTAACATCATATTAACAACAGACAGCGTTAGCACCTGCTGAGCTGTTTAAGACCTGTAGTAAACATACCACATCTTCAACAACTGTCAAATTCACTTTTTTGGCCCAATCAAGAAACACACCTCAGCTACATTCACCCATATTTTCAACACCTGAAGGGATGGAACAGATAACACATAGTTCTGTTTGACCTTCAGAACCAACACATATCCTTTAAAAATCAAATTCTAAGCCTGCTAATATAATGAGAAGAGAGGGTAGACAGGTAGGTTTCGAGTGCAAAAAAAATTGTTTAAGTATACAAATAGAAATGAAAGATAGGAATGGGGACGTTGACAGCAGCGTGGCTGCATCTTTACACTCTCTATTCACAGGGTACACTCACATTCAGCCTAAGCTTTTTGCCTCCTCTCTATTATTGGGTAGACTTGAACATCTTTTACTTGAAGAAAAAGACAATTCTGTGTATTTTGAATTTAAAAGTTATCTTTGAAGAAACAGAAAACTGTTTTTCTCCTATCAAGTTAATATGTCCCTCATGTCTCTCATTCTTTTGCTGTACACTTTGTCAAAATGCTTGGTTCCACACCTTTACAGTAGTAACTGGGGTAGTACTGGAAGGCTGCTACAGGCCTCCAAAACCTTGTTTCTCTGGGCTGGACAAGCCCAGTTCCATCAGCTTTTCTTCAACGCTACAACTCCTTACCAAGCTTGGTCCTCCACTCAATATTATTAATACTGTTATTTTCCTTCAGCATATAGCTAAACTGTCCTTTTATAAGGAGAAGGTCTGGAGAAGGGCAAGTTTAGGACGCTAGACTTAAAAAAAAAAAAAAATAAAAAAATACACTTAGTGCCTCTGTTACATGAAAAGGTTAATAACCAGAAAATTGAGACTATGTATCTATCTAGTATTTCAACAAAAAGACTACTACTCTAAAAAAGACAAACTCAGGCAGTTGACATTTAGTCAATGTCTTCTCAACTAAAGAAATACCTTACTTGGGTTAGCAGACCAAGAGCAAAACATGAAGAAGAATCATTTTTTTCCCCCCACTTCCTTACTTTTTCTGCATTTTTACTCCTTACTGTCACTGATAACTGAAGCTAAGATTTATATATTTAATCAGTAAACAGTGATTAGAACTTTTCTTAAAAAAAAAAAAAAAAAGGGTGCTCTTAAATACACCTGACAGGCAATTTAAGCAGAAACCCACACTTCAATAAAATATTCTACGGGTTCTAAAACCCAAGTCATAGTATGAATTCATATGGGAGCAAAAAAGGAAAAATTACATCCATTTCACAGTCTTATTAATGTTCCAGCTTTACAACTGCAGGTACCTATGGACAAGGGCCAGTACAAAAGAAAAGGTGGACTGTTCAAAGAGTTACGTCTTTAGAAGCAGCCAGAATTTCCTTGCTAGTGACCTAGGTACGTTAGGGAAAAACCAAAACCAAACGGAAAGAGTTAAAAAAAGGATTTTGCTTCCCACCTAATACGTATATGTATTGGAACATGACTTTGTGTTTCCTAAAAATCCCTGCCTTTAAAATGGTTTTTTTTGCATTATGCCTTCTATATTTTCATCCTTTTAATTCTCAAATCATTACCATATTATTAGATAAATCATAATAGTTTCCTCAGACGTGGTAAACCAACAAAGCTCACCAAAACTAATAGAATTCACCATTTGTAACACAAATAATTGCCTTACTTCTACATTTTTCATAGTGTTAACACATTGGAACGCAAAAGCTTCTACAGAGCAGTGGCTGCATATATGGCATTTGCAGAACATGAACATGCGTGTCACTGACTATAAGGGTTTCTATATTTATCTATTTTTAAAGATGACAGTAACACTGTTAAAATTCTCTAGCACAGGCTTTGATACTACGGCCTTTCTCTGAGATAAAGACTTTGGCAAGTTAAAAAAAAAAAAAAGGCAAAACAAATCAGTCGAGCAGTGGAGGCTACAGGAAGCAGCTTCCAGCTCTTGGAGCTGAATATCGAAGCATCAATTTGAGTGGTCAATACAATGAGATTCCTTGTTTGGAAAAGGATTAAAGACTAATATACACAGATCGTAACACAGTGACCCCATCCAAATCCTGTAATATACAGAGTGCAGCGTTTAGGTCTGTAGCTCAGAAACAAAACAAGCAGTACAAAAATCTCCCTTTATATGTAGTATCTTGGTAAAGTCTTTAAAATATACAAATCATACCATGATCCACTTGTAGAACTGGTTTTTGTGGTTGTTTGATTTTGGTGGTTCTTTTTTCTTTTTAGAGATATTTCAGGATTAAGTTTTGGGGTGTGAGGATTAAAAGCAACAGTCAATGAAAGGAAAAAATTTCATATGTTTACACTATCACTAGAGCGACATTTGATTATCAGAGCTATAAAAAAAAAGCTTTCTACTGATTTCTATGATATTATATAACTCCTACTACCCTAGAAATCTTTCCCATTGTAACAGAAAAGGGATTGGTAGACAATTAATACATTTACACTAGCCAGTAATACTCAAACTAGATATGCAGCTTGTCTTGTGCTAATTCCACTATGAGCAATAATATTACTTTTTCCATAAAATACGTATTGATTCAGCTAGAGTACTACAAAAGACAGAGAATTGCTTGCCACCAGTCTCTACTATAGTTCACCACAAAAAGACTAGAAGTTGTACCCTACTTAGGACTAAAGCTAATCTTCTCCCAACCGAATTTCTGTCTAGAATAACGTGACAGAACTACGAGGCTTCCCCTGTCCTTGCTAAGAGAGAGGAACTCCTGCAGCTGGGGTTCGACATAGCAGCTGGATCCTTCATGCAAATTAAGTGCTGCAACAGGTAAAAAGACTCACCTCTAGTGAATTACTCCAGAAGCCTCCCTGAACTTTACCGCTTTTTCTGCCACATTTATATCGTCACAGAGCACTGAACACTTCAACCACGCGACTGCTCTCGTTCATACTTCAGGATTGCTGCTACAGCTTGCCAGTCTGGACACAGCACACCAATTCTAATATTGATCTCTCTCATTGGAACAAAATTAAGTTCTCAGGCGTCTGCCAAAGGTTCTTACAAATCATTTCTTTCTTCAATAACATCATACACTGTAATATAACTTTCAGAAAGATAATACGTTTTTAAGGTTTTGCTATTACTATACAGGCATTACCTTTTTATCTATGACCAGACAGGTTTGAATTCATGATTCCTTTTCTTTATTTTCTTTATCATGTTTTAATAAAACTTGTTACACTATAATGGATTTTTCTGTACAAAATATCCAGTTGTGTTTCAAGAACATTCATTTTACAAATCAAATATTTATCTCAGATCAATATCTAGATTTTTTTTCTTTTTTTCATATCATGTAACACACATCTATAAAATAGACAATTAACTCTAAGGCTGTTCAGGTATGACCCTCAAAAATAACAAAACAAAGCACAAAACAGAAATAAGGTTTTACTGAGAAGTGAATTCCTCGCGTTAGGATACTTCTTCAATAAAACAACTCCATGTGTATTCTGCACATAGAAAAGTATACACAGACACACATCTTGAGCTGAAAGCTGGCTCAAAAAAATAAATCAAAAAAAAAAGCCCTCTTAACAGACAGATTTTAAAGGTAGTATAAATCCATGGTCTAAAAAAAAATAACTTAAAAATCCCACAAACAAACAGAAACAATAAAACCTCCATAAACTAAAAACTTAAAAACATCAAGCCTTTTAAAACTATTGATTGAATTATCCACTGGTTGGGTTTTCCTTATCCTGGCATGTTTTCCAGTTATTTTGTCTCAGATAAATTCTCATCTTTGGGCAAAACATCAACTTACGTTGTAAAGAACAGCTAAAAACTAACAAGAGTCACAGTTAGCTGGATTTATTATAAAGTCACGTAACAGCTGAAGTCCTTCCAGAACAACAATATTCAGGGAGTAATGACTGTTGTTCAACTTACATCTGACTGTCTCATCACCTATCTTGCAGGGAGAATCACTAAAAAGTCAAAAAAAGAGACCAATATTTTAAGTAGCAGGTTTCATGGTAAAGCAAAAAAAAATTTGGACAAAGTTTCTTCAGCATCTTATATCTGACTTATGGAACTGTGACTTTAAGTTGTAACATCCTACCACTCATGAAGGTTTCACACATAAAGATAGGCAGGGCACAAAGTATTTCACAGAATATTAAAATAAGCTGTAATTTTTATGCTTTACAAATATTCTATCAAAATGCAAAATAAAGGCTCTCAAGCTCCTCTAGACAAGCTTTAAGGCTGAATCAATATGCAAAACTATTAATGATACAATTTCATGCCTACATTTTGGTAGGAACCTCTGTCTTTGTGATTATTTTATTTTTAGATATCCTCTTATCACAAAATATAGAACCTATATGCAATAGCACAGTCAACATTTCATTATGGAGAATGTTCAAGTATTTTCTCCAGAAATCACTAGTAAAAAAAGAGAACACTTCCCTCAGAAATATCTATCGTGAAAACAAAACAAAAAAATAAGTTAGCAAACAGATTTTGATTCTCAGGGCAGGGTTGAATTAAGTAGTCATAGATTTTTGTCTTGGTTATCTTAAATGGAATTTAGCTGTAAGCACAGATAGCTATGCTTCAGCAATTATTCAGTTCAGTAGAGAACAATTTGCAGGATTAGTCAATCCACATTAGCTGTGTCAACATCTGTGGGATTTGCATTGACAGCAATTCATAAAGCTATCACCTGGAGTGCAAGAACACCTTCTCAAATCTATACTGTGCTACAGTACCTTTTGTGCACAGTCATCATTTCCCCTCCCCCTCGTTAACAAGTAGTTTTCCATTTAAAACTTTAATTTCCCTTTAGATTCCGCTACTATCGAAAAGAAAATGCAGCACTAGGAATGAAAGCTTTTTCAGGTGATGGTTTTTATTTTATCAAAAGTTACCAACATCTTTGCATTAAACTACAGCAAGCAGAGTCTTTCTCTACTGAAGTATGTCCCATCACACTTGCTGTGTTTTTGAAATATTACTTTTTCCCCAAGGCTAAATCTTGTTTTGGTACACATCAAACTTCCTCATAGTGCCCAACCAAAAAAGGGACTTGAAACCTGGATGCTCTGATTAGACCAAACAAGAAAAATAACGAAAGACTCCTCTGCAAGATTTATGCTTTTTATAAAAAAATATGTTTACAAACGTTGCATCCCTTTATTTTAAAGATACTTTCAAAGCTACTTTATAAACTGATAGTCAGGTTCAGATCAATGCCTTATGTACATTTTATCACACAAACAAACAAGTGCTACACATTAAATTCCTACTGCTATAGATTCTGAAGTTCTCTTTGCATCCCGTATTTTGCCACCACAACCGAAGTTAAACTTAGGTTAATGCTGATCTTTCATCCCAAATACTTATTTCTGTGATGCTGCTTGAGAGACAGCTGTGTACAAACTGGCAAGAAAGACGAGTGGCTGAAGCTATTTAACATATTCTGAGCTCTACTTACACTCTATTCACAAGTTCAATGAATTCAGATAAAAAAACTGTTGTACTTATATACTTCAGAAAGACTCGGACCAGATTTACAATTAAACTGCCTTAAATCACCACCACACCAAGTACGACAGCGATAGCAGGGGACCATCCTAGAAACGCTTACTCTGTATTTGTCCATCCGTTATTAAAAGCGAAGGCGCAGTCAGTAAACTGCATTGATTGATTGTTTTTCCCTCTTGAGGATATTTTCTCACGCGTTGTGAGTTTCAGAAATCTGCACTTAAAAGTTTTATAGCTTCATCTTACCTTGCAAAGAAAACTGATGTTAAAACCAAGAGACTGTGCGTTTCTGGAGCCAGAGTTCATGTAGTTTCCAAGGAAGAGCACTAACTCCAAAAGCTTACTAAAGCTCTCGCTCTTCTTCAGCTCTTCACAAGCCAGCGTCACTGCTATGATGTCAGGTTTGATATTGTTTACATGCTCTTCAAACATAAGCCTGAAAAGGATCCCATTGAGCCGTGACCTCAACATCTTCACTGAACTCATCTACAAAATAAGAAAAATTAAATCAGAATATTAAAAAAAGCCTTTGTTATTTAAAATACTTATATTAAAGAACAATGTTTTGCAGCCAGTAAGACTACAGTTTCTGTGTGTTTTCATGGCTTATCTTGTATTTCCAGGAATCTGAGCCTGCTCACCTGTGTTTTTCCCCAAACCACACACTTTGCCTGAAAAACCTCAGTGAGGCAAAATACTGAAAAGAAGAACGTGCTCTGTGTTATCAACTTCCAAACTCACCAGCAATAAACACACACTGCCAAAAATCCTTCCTCCCAGCAAAGGAAATGTAAGCCAGTTCTATCAGTTAACAAGAACCAAAGATCAGCCTGAAGGTACAGGTGGCCAACATTTCGTCACATCTCCAGGGAAGTTAACCTTGAACCTGCTTATTTACCAATTTCCTCAAACTAAGCTTCTTGGGTTTTCGCCCTTCAGAAAGAGCACAACAATCTCTCAAGTGTGTGTGCGCTGATAGTTGCACAAATACAAGCAGCCACACTTGAATCTGATTAAGCTAAAGAATTGTAGTTGCCATTTTTAGATTCTTACTGAGCTGACACGGAGCTCTGAACTTGCTCTTGGTCACCAGGAGATCAATAGAGGAAAGACCAAACGAATTCCTAAGGAGCCTTGTGGAAGGACATGGGAATAGCCAAGTGAGTTTGAGCCACAGGAGGCCAAGCTTCACTAGTCAGATACTCGTATAAAGCCAGGTCACAATAGTACTATTGCTTACGAAATATTTTCTATGATTATATTGACGTGAGCACTTAACTGGGATATTTACAGATGATATCAGTGCTACAAGGTGTTTGTTTTTGCAGTTTTTAATGAAAACAAAACCCAAACTGGTTTTTGTTACCATCTACACATAAAGCATGTTATAAAATAAACAGTATGAATCCTACCACTACTGATAGTTACCAAATAAGCTCAAAGGTATTTCAGAGATACGCTATACTTGACCCTAAGACTTTTCAAGTTCACACCACCAAAAAGCTCCAATCTGTGTGCCCCAAAGAATAACCAGACTCAGGAGGTGGATGAAGTGGTTTTGACCAAAAATGGTTACTAAAATAAGGATATACTTCCAATATACTCTTTCAGTTCTGATCCCACAACATAACTTCGTAGGCAAAATACTGCCTGCTTTTTAACCTCCTCTTTCAGTTCTTTTAAGTACATTTTGTAAAACTAATGCCCAAGCTACAATCACCTTTGTGCCTCAGACACTTTGCAAAAGCTAGTATAGGACTAATTCCTTCCTGATCTGATAAAAAAAAAAAGGGAGGCTATAAATCACACCATTGTAACATGGTAAATGAAAAGTGTCTACAATAATGATTCTTTAGTTTAAATCCCCAGCCCCAATTTCATCAGCCTAGCTACCAAAATACGTCCCTGTCTTCCGTATTTTCCGTATTGGTCTTCACAAGTGATCAGTAATCACATATACAAGATATATCTAAATTTAAAAGTAAAGTATGCACTGAGGATTTTCATTTAGATGCAAGAATAATTACATTGCAGATCTAACTCTGAACACTGAAAGACTTCTCCCCCCATGTATTCACTAATGGTGCTGTTCCTGAAGCACACCGTACGCCTGAAAGAAAAGCTTGGTTATATGACAAATCCCATACATCAACTATCAAACCCAAGTTTTTTATGTGCTCACGTCTCTGCTGCCCAAAGCTTTACCGTGGCTTTTTGAGGAACCCTGATTTTTCTGCTGGTGCTATCTACTAGACAGCTACCAGAAGCAGCAGTAATAACTTTCCCAGGAAAGACTTGGGTGGCTTGAATAATGATGAACTAAATCGAATATAAATATGAAGGCATTCCAGATGGACTCAAACAATTCATCTGATCAGTCTAGAATGAGTGAAAGGAAAGGATCAGAAAAGAAGCTTTTCAGTATAACTTGTGATCTTTTTTTTTACACATCTTGATTGTCACAAATTCATCTGAGTTTCTGTAAGCCAGAATCTTGCTAAGTCTTGAAATCTCGTTTTTCTGCATTTCAGATATATCACAGAATCATAGAACGGCCTAGGCTGGAAGGGATCTTAGAGATCATTTAATCCAACCTCCCTGTCACGGGCAGGGACGCCTCTCAACTAGATCAGGCAACACATATCATACCGAAAACATCTGCCTTGAAAGGATCTACCTTCCCTGAGCTGCAGCAGATGAAGATTTAAATTAATCACATAATTTAAAATTTGTAGAACAATTACTGGTTTTACTCAAAACGGCACAGAAAAAAGCTGTCAAAAGCTTTAGCTCCTGAAAACCGAGCACAACAAAACACATACAAGCCAAGAGAACAGCGTGATTCAAACATGTGTGAAGAAAAATCCTTTACAACACTTCAGCCAATTAGTACTTACTATCTTTTTTTTAATGCACTGAAGTGTCATGGAACATTGATCATTTATCTGCTTTGCAAGGTAGTCTGACTACCAAATGAGCAGTAAGTTTTCATTTCACTTGCTTATATGCATAATATTTCATAAGTACCCTGACCATTTCATGATGGCTGTTTCAAGTTGGTTGTTTCCTTGGAATTCAAAATAATTTTATATCTGTTACAATCTTTATGTATCAACAGAAGACAATCACAAATGCTATTTTACTTCCTCCTTCCCCACCCTGCCCTGGTTTCACTTCCACACGCACGTTTCTAAATATACATATTCAGTGACTAATAAGCATATTGAATTTAGAGGATTCTTTTGAAAACAGGTAAGGTGCAAAAATTAAATTCACTTAGAAAAAGGTCAAACTGTTTACAGTTCTACAAAATTAGTGTCAAAGGCGTAGAAGAAATAACACATTTAAATAGGTGTAAGTAACAACAAGCATTAGCTTCCACCACGAACGGTTAGAGAAGCAAGAAAATGGATATTGCTTTTCCAGCCAACTGTGAGCGCTGGACTGCATACCATTATCTCCCCTTCTGGGCTTTAATAAAGGGCCTTGTCTGAATTCTCTGCCTAATCAAGTTCTTTATTCACTTCTTTATTATCATCACTCAATTCTCAAGCCTCATATTTAAACTAGGATCAAAAGTTATTGGCAAAAGCCAAAAGGCACAATTAAATCTGCCTCACTTCTTACGGAAAAGAGCTGACATTCCTATAATACAAATTTGTCAACTTACTAAGACAACTTATTCAGCCTCTTACCTATAATATATTAAAGTCGCCTTTTTTTTTTTTCCTATCAGTGTTCTAGAAAGATTAATTCTTCGGCAGCTCTAGAAACTGCAATGAGGCAAGACAAGAGCAAAATAATTTCACTTAAAATTACTGAATTGACTCTGAAACAATGCAGGTAAAACTTGCCCTCTTGCATTAACAAAGACATTACTGATAATCTGGTTCTTATCAGCTGAAGGAACTTCTGCATTCACTAGAAATCAGCAAAAAACCTTCACACTTTTTCAGAATATGCACTACAAAGAGAATTCTTAGGTCAGCTCCAGTCACTTTCTTTGTTGGTTGCACCACATAATTGTGGGGGGATCTTTTTGGAAGTAGTGATATTCTTCTTAACATCAAAACACCATTAGTGGTAAAGAACAGCGGGTAAAGTTTTTTGAGTTTAAAATCCACTAACACCACCTGTCCTCTGAGCTCAGACAAAATGGTTGGTACTCACACACTTCACGCCATAGAGGAGATTTATGATTTTGTAGTACTTAAAACGTGCAAGTGGCATTGAAATGTAAAACCAGTATCGTTACTGAAGCTGCAGCTGTTTGCACGTCATAAGGAAGTTAACTCTTAAAAATAAGTATTACATTTAAATATCTGAGAACACTGTACCTAGCTTAATGTGATACAGCTAACTCAATTAACCCATTTTTCTTGCTCTACTTCAACATCAATGCAAACTTTTCCTTATATGAAGTTGTGTTGCCTTTTTCGATCCCAGGATATAACTTCAAAAACAGTTCCAATAACTAATTTGAATATATAACTGATTTTAACATTCTATCTAAATGAAAATGAAATTCTACTTTTCATTTACATATCAGCTGAATATTAAGTTAATAGTTCTCTTCTCTTAAGTTAATCATTTACTACATATAGTTTTTCTACATAAATTTTAAACAACTTATTCCAAACTTTATTGAATTTGATGAGCACAGCGATTATCCAATTAACATTTCCTAATTAACATACCTAAATTTACATACAAATAAGGGTACACATTTTAAATATTACTTAACATATCTGTCATCATCTATTCCTGAACATATTCTTCTTAACTTCAAGGTTAACTTTATTATTAATGCAAAAATCTGAAATTAATTTGACGCGTGGTAAAAAAAGGACCCCACTCAAATGAAGATCTTAAGTTCATCTGCATTTCCTCCACTTTAATGGAGTGTTCAATTAAATCAATGTCTGAAACAAAACCAACATTTCTATAGTGTTAATGTAGCTCCAGGCCTCTAAAAATTGCAGTAATTTTTTTATTAAACCAGATGGTGAAGTTGAATAAGCAAACAAGCTTCAGGAAGCTTAGTCCTTTGTAAGACAAACATCACCATTTGGAGATGTTTGATTAAGTAGTTTTCTCTAATTACTGTTCCATTATACACTTAGGAACTTTTCCTCAAGTTTGTCCAACAGAGCCACTGCCAGCCACCTGCAGGATGGACCTGCTTCTGGCTGAGGCCGAGCCCTCCAACCATACTGGTAGCATCTCCGGAGTAACTTAAAGAGGAAAAAAATGCTAAACAAAATGCAGAGAGAAGAGTGAGAACATGCAAGAGAAATAACTCAGACAGTAATGAAGGTCTCTTGTAATACCTTCTGCACAGAGGTGAAACTGGGGAAACAGTTTTACCTACAAAAATAATGCCCTAACACGTCATCTCTTGTGTAAGTGCTCAGATACAGTTACTCCGATTCTTAAATATCATCTGCTTCTACGCAAGCCGAGGTGAAGAGCACAAACCTTGGCAGTAACAGAACAACCTTGGACTCATCCTGCTGTACTGGGGCTGGCTGGGATGGAGTGAACTGCTCCTTCCTCCCAGCAGCCTGTACAGCGCTGGGGTTCAGACCTGTGGCCAGAGCGATGCTGTTACCACCCCAATGCTCTGGCTACAGCTGAACAGGGTTAATCCACAGGACTTGGTCTGTTCTGAGTAGCTGCTCCTGACTCTTACCTGGTTCTACCTACAGGGAAGGTAAGAGCACATGAAACCAGAGACTCTTGAAGGTGCAGTGACAGGGCAAGAAGCAAAATAAAAAAGACAGCACTCAGGAAATTCTGACTCTATGGAAGCAAAGCATGAGCAGACCGAACCAGAGATTCTTGAAGGTGCACAGTGACAGGACAAGCAGCAAGATACAAGGGACAGCACTCGGGAAATTCTGGCTCAACATAAGGAAAGCACTGCTGACCACAAAGGCGGCTGGATATCGAATGCAGTGTCGCGATCACAGCTGTCCCCAGCAGAAGGGTAATTTCCTGCCGTCCACCACATGAGCAGCATGATGGGAGGATGCAAATAACAGTACACGAGAAATATCTTTATATAAAAGCTATAGAGAGTAATACGGTAGAACTGAATCAGGGACCAAGGCTGAAGCCGAAGAGACAAGGTAGGCACAATGTTTGTTCGTAAAAGGGAAATGTGTGGCAGAAGAAGGGATCAAACGGGGAAAGGGATCCAAGTTATAAACATCAGGTGTGAAACATTAAGGATCTTACAGCAGTAAAATGGAGGAATGTCTGCAGAGCCCTTAAATCAAGGTCATAATGCAGAATTTTTTTTATTTCTTTGCTTATTTTAGTTAACTGAATGGAATTCATAGACATCAGAGTTTTCTTCTGTCCTAATGCCTCCACCGTGTTTGCTTCCATTCTGTATTTTCCTTATATAGGCATATAAGGTAACTGTATATATCCATATATCTGCATATAAAGTCTCTAGATACAGATACGTAAGGATACATGTTTTAACATGTATCTATAATGTATACATGTATGCCTCCATTCTGTATTTGCTTCCATTTGCTTCCATTCTGTATTTTCCTTATATAGGCATATAAGGTAACTGTATATATCCATATATCTGCATATAAAGTCTCTAGATACAGATACGTAAGGATACATGTTTTAACATGTATCTATAATGTATACATGTATACTGTAATTATATTGCAAGTCATAACGCAATCAAGAAAAGCACTGAATGTATTTATAAAAATCTGTAGATTATTACTGATCAATAAATGGTAATGTTTTACTACTGCAGGCCTTGCAATAAGACCAACCAATGTATCACACTTCCACAAAAACTCCTCAGTTTTGTTCTCAAACAAAATATTTGTTGGAACTTTATGCCACTTAGTTAAAAAAAAATACAAACAAAAAAAACCAGTAGGCTTAAGTCCTTGATAGTTTTCATTTTCTAAATCCTCTACAAAAATCTCATTAGGTCAAATTATGTGCTGTTACCTACCCTCCAATAATCACTCAAAAGGCGCTTCCAAACCTGAATTATGCTTAAATCAGAGCTTCTTATTAAAAAAAAAAAAAAAGTAAAAAGTTTCATTCTCTCCTTTTAAGAGACCTCTATTTCTGGTTTAATACATTTTGATGTACATAACACCATAAAAATCCAGAAAGAGCAAATCTAGCTCCTGTGGAGTTAGGGATAAATTCTAAACACATTACAGAGGTTCTTGTCATCTTTATAATCCTTTAGACTGACAAAGTGAAGGGAAAACAGGAATTAATTTGCCGAAGGACTTGTCAGGTTTTTGGAGGACCAGAAGCAGCAAAAGAGTCTTCCAAGCCCTTGCTCAGTCCCCGCTACCACACAAGCAGCTACTTGTGCAAATTTTATCATTCCCTTCAGAGCTATTACAATACTCAATGACCCTGCTTTTGGAGTACATATTGAACACCAGTAAGCAGCAGAATACGATCTACAAGTTCATTTCTAATATGAATGCGCACCTCTTCTACAGCAGTTTTTTGCAAGTTTCTATGTGTTTGCACACATTTTGTGAGTATCTAGCCATACACCTAAAATACATATATACACACACATTTATTTCTTTTTTAACCACATGACATATTATGGATATATTAACTCTTTCAGCTGTTTACAGTTTTTCATACAGTAAAATTGATTTATCCAAGTTGCCAACGCTATGGAGCCAATGGGTCTTTCAAGAACTCTTGGAAATTTAACTATCTGAACTTAGAGTGTTCTCCTTAACTGTTTAATAAACATACAAGGCTTGCATACAAGACAAGACAGTCAGACAAAAGATTTGGTCTGGTACAGAAGTGCCTGCTGCTCTTAATTGCAGAACCTACTTCCTTCTAGAAAAAGCACCTAATACATATTTACAGAGATATTTAAATTATTTTTCATCATTAACTAGAAGGTAACTTTTTCCTGCTGCAGGATTTGCAAAAACATTAACCAAAATAATTTTAACCTAATTTTTTTCTTTTTAATATATCTGACAAAATAGAAATCTTCAGCTAATTACTGCGCTTATACATACCACAACTCCAAATTGTTCTGGCTCAGCAAGATCATTATATTCATCCTTTAATTCCGCTAAGGCATTGAGTTCTTTCTGCTCCGGAAGATTCTTCACTAGATTCTAAAACAAACAAGGCATTATATTAAATTTGCTATATTAAACTAGTTGAGATCTTAAAATAACACACTTAAAATACAACCATATGGAAATGCATGAGGAAATTATGAGAAGCTTATTTTATTTACACAGCTTTAACACTATATAAACATCAAATCAAACCAGTAATTATTTAATAGAGACATCAGCACCTCTGTTACACTCTCTAATTTCAAGAATGCTTTCTCAGTATTGAAAGTTAGACAAAACTCCTTGATGCTGTCAGACCCTGAAGAATTATACTCTATCGTTTTTTGCCCTCATGATTGCATCTTGCATATTAAATATTAATTAAGAAACAAATGATCTGTGTAAATCAAGGCATAACTAACCTAAAAAAAAAATTAAACCTCTAGACATTCAGAATAGCAATGCACAAGTTTTTCTTGAAAAGAAACTTAAAACAAAAAAGAGCAACATCTCAAAATTATACAGATTTTCCTAGTGCCAACTTACTAGAACTCATCAAAAAGTAGAATTCCCTTGAAATCTTATCCATATGTCCCCACAAAATTGTATGATTTATTATATAACTTTAACATATCAAAATACAGATATGCTAAACATATAAAATATTTATATTAAGGCTAAAGAATATTTTAAGAGATACTCAGTAAAAGGTTAGATCATATTTAAATATTGATGCATAAATCACCTGAAAACCAAACAATAAGGTAATTCAAGGAAAAAAAGTAGCCATTTACATTCAAGCAAGCAAGAATAGCTCTTTTTTGTTGAAAAAGGTTGGAAAAAAAATCTTAATATCAAAATCCCAAAGCGTATTAAAGTATTGTTAGCTGATACAATTACACCAGAGCTGTCCACACACAGAAGGTGCCCTTTACTTCATTTCCAATCTCCACTAATCATCCTTGTTCACATTAAAGACTTGCGATGGGAAAAATTAAGAAACAGATATTAATGTAATATTTTGGATACTCCAAATGGGACCCAAACCTCTGTAGCAGCTTGCAGTCAAGTGTGATTCGGCTGAATTTCAAAGGGTGCTGAGTTATGGGCAAGCACTAGTGACTGAAGGAATGAAAAGGGACTGTGTCGAGACATTTACCTATAGAAAAGAGGCTGAGATACCTCCAGACCCAGGTAAATGTAGTGTCCCTTAAGGTTTCCCACTGCGACCCTTAGGAGGATTTTCTCAGGGGAAGTTGCCTAACTATATAAAAAAGGAGACAACCCATTCCTTTATGGTGAATAATTTATAGACAATGAATCTGAATACAGGGGCCAAAGAAGTAGCGCACTTCTGCTATTAACAGCTTTTGAAAAATCAACATGAGATTCACCCAACTCCCATGGTGCAACGATTTCTATACCAAATATCTAAAAAAGAAAAATCCTTCACACAGAAATCATTTTTTCTTCTCTGTAAGCACAGCTGGTGCCAAGATATTCAGGAGAAAAGGGGCAAGTCCTCATCCTTCAGCAAAAAGCTATGAAGCCCCCTTCTGAACCTTGCAAAAGTAAATCATAGAATCATAGAATGGCCTGAGCTGGAAGGGACCTTAGAGATCATTTTAATCCAGCCTCCCTGCTGCCAGGTCCACTACCTCTCAACTAGATCAGGCAACACATGGGGACCGAACGGGAATCGAACCTGGCACCTTAGCATTGTCAGCGTCATGCTCAACTGACTGAGCTAAGGGGCCCCCTAAATGGTAGAAGCAGCTTAAGGTTCACAGGTCTACTCCCAATAAAGTGTCCATGGAACTGTAATTCTACAGGATTTTAATTACAACACGGATTCCAGTTAAGATAAAGTAATAGCAATGTGTTGCAGCTAAAAGGAATTTGAAAAGCAGCAAGAAACGAGGACTTGAGAAACATAACTGTAAAAGCACTTCTCTATATGCTCGGTTATGATATCACCATTTAACGCTCACCACTTTGAAACTTGGAACAAAGCAATTTCTACATGTGTATTTCCATAAAGTACAAGTTCTGCTAAGCATGAAAGAAAGCAAGGTTTGCTTTGTAAATTAGTTAATAACCTAGTCATAAGATTAGAATAAAAATAAACCAGAATAGACTGCACATGAAATAGATGATACAGCCCATTTACCCCAATATATTTGCAAGAATATCTTTAGAAACACAGCAGGAAATATCAGCTAAATCTCCCTGTTATTAGAAGCAACTCTATCACATCATTCCCTTTAGAAATGGACCCAACTCCAACGCATCAGTTTTTTAAACATTATAGGCAGCTGAGTTTCTAGATAGTAGCACTCATGATAAATTCATATACATTTATTCTGGTGTTAACACTGCCTTTCACTTAAGCAACTTCATTTTTCTCCCCAATGCTTATGCACATCACTCTTCTCCCCATGGTTAGAAGGTAGTCGTATCCCCTCTCAGCTATTTATATTGCTAAGCTAATCAAGCCAATCTTTTCTAGCTTCCTTCTGTAGACTGTTTCTCCATCCCCCAATCATCTTAAGTAGTTTTTAAGTTCAGCTTCTCCATTTTAAATTCATTTTTGAGAAATATACTGCGGATTTTAGATAAGGTCTTAGAAGTGTATTATTCAAAAGTGTAATAATTACCGTATCTACTGGAAATACTTGACCTGATACACCTTGCAATCACTTTTGCTTTTTTTTTTTGGTATACTGGGTCTGGCTGGGATGAAGCTAAATTTCTCCAGAGCAGCCCAACTGGTGCCAGTTTGACTTTGTGGCCAGAACAGTAATGGTTCAGCTACTACTGAACAGGGTGTCCTGTTCAGCACACACTCAAGCTGACTCCCCTCAACCGTTTCCAGCTGATAAGCAACAAGATCATGACCTTAGACTTTAGCGTAACATAGTATATTCTATATCCTACATATCCTACATATCCTACATATCCTATTAATCTAGTTCTAAAGATACCTCTTTGTTTGTTGCAGAGATAACTATATCAATACAAAACTATTCTGCGTTTAACATACTAAAGGTCAGTTTTTCCTCCCTTTTGGATTTTACTAATCCTGAAGGCTTCTCAATCAAATGATCTTATATTCCCAATCAAAAAAGAAATTTAGGACTTCTTACTTATTTCCAAATATTATATATCATGTGCATAAGGTTTTTGTGACAAGATATACTCAGTGGTCAAAACCGGTATTTTTAGCAATGTAAGTAGATATTAGTACATGGCCTGAAGCAGGACACCAGAGTGAAACACAGCACATAAAGTCAGATTGGAAATCATCTCCCATCAAATAAGAAACTTACAGAAACATCACGCCATGGCAATTTAAAAAATATATAAAAAATAAAGGATTTCCCAAATGAAACATGAAAATGAATTTTGGATTCCAAATACAAATTTCAAAACACATATTAGTTGAAGTAGAATGAGCCTCAGATTATGAAACTATAAGGCAACATAATAGTATGTAGTGCTGTTGACTCCCGTAAGTTGAAGTCTATGAGAAAACAACAGCCCTTCCTCTAGAGCCTCTAGAAAAAAAAACCTCCAGTAACGTAGGAGGGCCTTGGTGTTACAATTAAGAACTGCAGACAAAGGACAAGCAAATGAAATTTGATAAATTTAACTCCATTTACGCTGTACGTTGTGCAACATACTAATTTTATTAACAAGCATTCACGTTCAGATTGGAAGTTATAAACTACATAACTAAATGCGAAAACACAGTAACTTTGTTCAGCACAGTGTCCCTGGAATAACCGTCTTCCAGGTTTGAGAAAGAAAGAATTTACTTTAGAAAGCCTTGAGGGGGAACGGGACAGGGCTGTAGCAGGAGGAGACAGGGAAGGACGAGAGAATAAATTGTGGCCCATTATGTTTGCCAGAATCCGAATCTGTGTATGATTCTACAACAAACCAATTCAACACCAGTATCCCCGGTGCGCTACATCCGTGTACCGTTGTAGGCTGACGTGTTTCTCTGCCCAGAGATGGGGAGGGGGGCAGTGCACACACTTGCTCTCCTCCTACTGGGAGGAATCAGAGAGGGATGTAAAGAGACTATTCCTCACTTTCTTCTCTCCAGCTGAGAGATTCTCAGCTCAGAATGAAGCCAAACCAGCTTGAGAGCAGGTTTGATTTACAGATGTTTCTTGGGTCGTAGCAGTATTCTGAAACATTCAGGCAGTTTCATCTATCATGAGTGACAACCAGAGCCATTTCCACGAGAAGCCTGATAAAACTCCATTATCCACCAGCCTAAATGTGGTAAATACTCGTCTTTGAAACTGAAAAACTGGAATTATCTGTGAATTTCTTTTGAAAGGTAAACTTCATAAAGCGATTCAAAAGTGCTTCTGTTAACAGTGTCTTTTAAAGGCAGTTTTACTCCTCTATGTGACCATATTCAAAAGCAGAAGTGAAATAAACAAAATCAGTAAACAGAACCGAAACATTTTTTTAGGTGATATGCAGGTAACTCTACTTACTCTTGAATTCCTATACCTTTCAAGCATTTTTACATGGAAAATAAGCTACACACTAAACCAGAGATATTTTCACATACCTGAATCAAAGATTCACTCAGCTTCTCTTCATCAACCTCTAAAATTATATTTTTTATTTCTTCATAAGGCAAACGGAAAGAACCCAAAAATATTGCTGAAATGCAATAATACATAATTAGAATCAAAAAGGTCAAAAAGACTGCTATAAGAAGGCAAACAGTTTCTAGCAACTGAAAAAATCACATCTTGATCTAAATAAAGATGATTCAGAAGTAAGAATTTTTCTATATGAAAAACACCAGATGAGGAGCACTAGTGCAGTTTGACTTAAAATTAATTTCATTTCTATGAATTTCATTTATAATAAATTATGACCAATTTTAACTGTTTAAGCAGCCTCAGTCGCTCCCCAGCAGCATTACTTAGTTCTAGCAATAAGGGCACGATTTTACAAACGGTAACTAACACCCCCATTATTACTTGAACAGACTTATTCAGCCCCTAGAAGACCTTACCTATTATTTTTTTGCCTTCATACCCATGTATGAATAGCTGTGCTGCATTTACAGTTGGCTGAATATTTATATGAGGTTCTAGAAAATATTCCATGTCAAAAGGATAATGAAGAGCTGGGCAGAGACATGAAAACCCATACCCAAACTCAATGGCTTTTTAGAGTGACTAAACTTGCCCAAGAGACAGTGGCTATTGCAGAGCTTCACAGACAAGAGTTCCAAAAGCAACCGATCGCAGGACGGTACCACGGGAGGATGAGCAGCCCATCTGAACAAAGTGCTCTATAATCAACTCGACTCCTAGAGTGGATTTTCCTGCATCTGTATTTCCAAAAGTTGAAAATCCACATCACCTGCGCCATAATTCAGTCTCTGCTTAAGAAAACGTGCCTGTGGGTGTGGTAATACACACTGCACAGATGTGGTTTTACACACTTCATTGGCCATGGGCATAGCTGGACTACTGACATTTTGTGGTATTTCTAATTCAGATAAAAGGATCTACTGCTGCTAATGACTGATTTCCCTCCATAATTGTGAGAGAAGAAGTAAGTTTAAATAAAAGATGGGGCTGCATTCCTTTCAATTTATAGCAGCAGTATTGAAACCTAACTTATCCTATTTTGTAATATTTTTCTCTTAAAAAGTCTAATCCCCGTCAAGTTCTACTTCTCCATAGCACTACACAGAAAGAGACATTAGGAATGGCCTCTCAAAACCAACACACCAAACCTACCAACACTGCCTTTCCTGAAGCAGTAATTTTCATTTAATTGCACTTCTAGTCTGAAACAATTAATTAAGGAATCAACTTTTTACTGGAAAAAAAAATACAATTAATTGACATGGAATTCTACATCACTTTTCTATGTTGCTTTTTTAAGTTTTCCCAAGTTGTACAGTGAATTCCAATTATATGTATGTAGAATAATTCTGTACTTAAGACTCACGTTTAGATCAGGAAGTTTTTAAAACAAGAATATTGCCCATGTAAACAAAAAAGAACACTTAATCACATGTGCACATGCTAATTAGATATTGATCTAATGTATTTCATATCACTTACATAAATTTTGTGCTGTTTTTCCATCCAAAATTCTTAATTCTTTAATCTTTTTCTTTGACTGGACTGCTTTCTTTTCTTCTGATTCTTCTGCAGGCTTTTTAGCTGGAACGACAGTATTTATTAAATTCTGATTCATTATTACAACTGTTCAGTCTTAACAGACTAATAGCAACTCAGCTAGAAAGCCATAATAATGCATCCGTGAAAATCATTTCAAGGCAAAATGAAAGCACTGCCTCAACATACTGAAAATACTCAAAGAAACAAAGCAAATTTACGAAATTAGGAGGAGTATGACGTGAAAATGTTGATGACAATGCTCAATTTTCCCAAGCACTATCAAATTATATTTATACATTTTTACCCACAAAACTTACTATCATCAGCTTCAGTTTATTTCAAGCACTTTTTAAAATACAGTGATTTGGTGTTACCTCAAAGCACACGAGTGCCCTCTGTTGAAATACTAATAACTCAAATAGCATTTTCAGTTCTTCATCCAAAACCGGTAAGATAAATCATTTGAGTTCTCTCACATTACACAAATGCAGGTTTTTACTAACTACTTACATTGTCACTGGTAAAGAGCAAAAGCAAGTAAGAAAATACCACACATCTTAAACTGATTTCTTCTTTAATTAGTAAGGATCACTACCCTTATATTCAATAGTTGAAATTATACAGAAAGTAATGTGGTATTTTAATACTTAAAATATATTTTTTTCATAACATAATTAGCACAAAATTTTCTTAAGTAAAACCATTAACAAAATTTTATTACCTTTCAAATATCACCTAATATATTTGGCACTGAAGGAATAAAAAATTAATGTACTTAACCTTAAACTTAATGAACATTTTAGTTATTCAAAAGGAAGTGAATAACTTCAAAACCAAACTACGAAAGGAAGTTTCAAGCAGACTAAACATGCCTTTCTTCTCTGAGCACTGTTTTTTGCTGTACTAATTTCATCAGCATGGGTTTCATTACAGGTATCTCTTAAGACAATTTGTATTTTTAGCATAAAGAATAACACTGAAATCTTGGTTTGAACCTCTTAACAAAAGAAATAAAACATTTTGAACACAAGTTATTCTCCTCCTTATACACATTACCACTAGGAAAACACCTGGCATATAATAATTCTACTGGGTTTATACCATCTGAGTAATTAGTTTACCTTCGGCATTCTCCTGCCAATGTTAACTAAGGTAGTACAAGATAGTTCCCTCATCCCCAGCTACCTCTGAAAAGCCTAAACCAGAAAAAGTTCACAAGAGACGACGATTCAACAACAATGTAATACTTTCTCTCCCCTTGCTATGCCATTATTCTGCAAACCTAACCACAGAACACAATCAGCTTGCTTTCTGTCTGTAAAAGGACAGTTACACATTGGTGTGACAAGACACACACAATACTCAAAATTCTCACCAGCACTGACCCTTTAACTATAATGAACTATCGTGCAAAATCCTCAAGTGACACTCCATGAAATAACCACACCCTTATCACTAATTGTTCTCCATTAAACACGGAAATAAAACCAGGTGTTCAACAAACCAAACCAAAACCACCCAAAAGATAAAAATTACTTGTCCCATGAGAAACTAATAAACATGACGCGTTCGGTCATTCGTACAGAAGCGACTGAGAACGCTGGATTTGTGTCTGCTGAGCCAGGTGTGAGAAGTGATTCAGGATGGAGTGACCTATTCCAAACTTGGTCTGTTTAAGAATTAAACCCCCAGATTTCCAGATGTGATTAGGTCCTTAAAGTGCTGGAGCCTGCACAGCCTCCCTGCCTACTCTGGGAGCACCGCACTTGTCACAGGAGTTGCAAACACTAAGGACAAACCTGTTCTGTCACCAGCTAAAACAACGGACACACGTTGCAGTGCGTAATCATTTCAGTCCTGAGGCTTGCAAAACTGCAGTGGTTACAAAACCATTAAAGAGAAAAAGAAAACAAGAGAATCAAACGGTTTCGTTACCAAAGGTCACCCCACACAAAGGTAATTTTTCTCCTGCAGTGCTAATTCACACACACCTGCTCACACACAGAAAGTGAGAGAAACACCTTTGTGAGCAAGGAGCACCGTGACACCATCACTGCTAAGTCATCCATTTTATAAATATTTCAAATCTAGCTTAGATTAAAACTCTTCTATTTGGACAAGACCAGACATGTTCTTTCCAAAGGCTCTTATGTTTTTATGCATGCGACTTCAAAGCCTTTATTAGCTCTATGCCGATTACCAAAACCCATGGAGAAATACTAGAACCAGATGCTTGACTGCATCAAAGTCACAATATACCATCAGTACCAACCTCACCGACCTAAGAGTCACAGGCAGAAGAAGACTTTCAGTTACAAAAGTTCTTCAACACAGCTTGCCCCATGCTCGAGGCTGCATCAAGCACCAGGGAGCTAGAACAGCCACGCTCTT